TCCAAATTATAAAATAATACTGGAGGAGAAGATACCATGTTCAATTCGATCTTGAGTATCATGTGTGCACTTTATTCCTGGATGAGATGCTCTTGCTTCAGAAGCTTCTGGTGCAATTTATAAAGGTTAAAAACGGCAGTACACTCCTTTTTCATGCTATGTTCAAAGGTTAAATTGATTGTTCTGTTTACATTACCTTTAGACTGGAGACTTGGAATTAATCTAAGCATAATACAATTAGGTTGATTTAATTTTAGAGTTTGCTTACGTTCTGAATAAAAAGTGAAAGATCATATTGTACTGTGGCCTTGGAAACATTTTGGTTAGATCTCTAAAATGCTGGCTATTAATTAGTATCAACTCATGCTTCCACTTGCCCAGTTTGACCTGAAATCTGAAATGAATTGTGACTAATGCCCCAGCTGGTGTTCCCAAATTATGGCAGGAACTAGATCTCATCCATTGCTGTGAATGACTTCTTGCCAGACACCTGAGATCTAAGCATCTGAAATCACAACTTGATAAAATTTCTCTGAAATTGGAATTTTAAAAATCTATCACATAACCATTAGGTTGGTGAAACAGTCAAAGTGAAATTTTTTATTTGGAAACACTCCCTTGGATTCAGTTGTTTCCATATCAAAAGATCAAATGGAACAATCTCCTACCATGTCTCTTCATGGTTTGAAGAGTTTAACTGAACACAGGAGGCTGTTATCTTGGACCATTCCTGCAGCCATAACAAAATCCCTCAGTTCACAAACAATAAAAATTTACTTGTCATGGTTCTTGAAGCTGAGAAGTACAAGATCAAGGGGACCAACAGATTCAGTGCATGATGAAGACTATACTACAGTCAAGCACATTCTTGCTTTGCTCTCTCAAGGAAAAAGGAGTGAAGGAGTTCCTTTGGGCCTGTTTTTGAATAGGCACCAATCCCCTTCCTGAGGGCAGGGCCCTTATCACCTCATCATCCCACATAAGCTCCACCTGTTAATTCTATCATTTCAGGGTTCAGGTTTCAACTGAATTTGAGGATGAGACACTAACATTTACTAATAGTGTAGCAAATATTTACTAATCCAAAAAGCTAACTTGGTTTTGTGAAGCCAGCCATCCCCAGACTTCTCTAGTTGCAGCCACTTTATAAAGCTGAGAGGGTATTTGCAGGAAGGATGTTCATATGACACATCTTTTTCAATGTTACTTGAAATTTCTCAAAGCTGCCAGAAGTCATTCACTTTTTAACATTTCCATTAAAAACCAGAGCAGCTATGCTCATGTTGAGGTCTGAATCAAAGTGCCTTCCCCATTCCTTTAAGATTTGTCTCAGCTGTAAAAGATTCATGAAAATGGCTGAAAGCAGCCTGGTTATTTTGTTCAGTTGATGACACATTTGCAACTACTAAATCAGAGCTGTAGTCGTTTAGAGCATTTGGAATCATTTGTAAGGATTAATTAAAAAAACTGAACTCCATGGTAATGTTTCTTAGGATCACCTTCAAGGCCCTACCAATATCCTATTCTAAACTCAAATTCAGAATCGGGTAACAGTTTTTCTTCAGGGACTAGATAGGAGTGGATGTTTTAGCTCATCTACTATTTTTTTTAAGAGAGAGTGAGAGAGGAGAGAAAGAGAGAGAGAGAGAGAGAGAATTTTTAATATTTATTTTTTAGTTCTTGGCGGACACAACATCTTTGTTGGTATGTGGTGCTGAGGATCGAACCCGGGCCGCACGCATGCCAGGCGAGCGCGCTACCGCTTGAGCCACATCCCCAGCCCTCATCTACTATTAATAGAAATATCGCAAGGACACTTCTTATCCATTTTACCTGAAGATGGATGTATTAAGTATTAACTAACTAGGTGTTTGCAAAACACTTCCAAGGAACAAATGCAATGAAAGTGCTAAATATAATTATTATAACAGAATCATTTAGATGACAAATTTCAAAGCTCTTCATTAAACATGATTGGATGTTACATTTATTAGTTCATTAAGCTCCACTTCAAATGCCAGATAAATAAATGCTTATTAATGTCATAAACTAAATGGGATAATGCCACATAGACCTATTACTTTTAAAGTGCTTTGCAAATATTAACTAATACACACTAGTTTTTAAAGACAGATTGTATGATTTAACAGGAATTGTTAGTGTTTCTCATGATATAAATCCCTTACTATAAAACCTGAACTCTTTAAAAATTTCAGACTTTTTCCCCTCAAGATAATATATGCTTGTTTTAAAATATAAATAAATATAATTATGAAAATAAAAATAATTTCTATCATTAAACTACCCAAATAAAATATATTTATTATAAAAATTTTACATTGCATCTTTCAGGCTTATATTTGTGAACTCATGTGTTAATGTGTACTTCTGTGTGTATATGTACATGTTTGTATTTTTTTTAACAAAGTCAATATTTTATATAATGTTTTATATATTCCATTTTCACTTGAAAATATCAAAGTGCCCTTGCAACATGGTTTATGGTCCTGAAATAATTATCTTCAAATAAAAATAAGTAAACCAAAAAAAAAAATTATGGTGCTTTGAATAAATGGTTTTGCTAGATCTGTTGTACAGGATGCATACATCAGATGAATAAGAAAAGCCTGGAACATTTTAATAACAGCTAATATTTGCAGGTTATTAATATATTCTTTCATGTTTAAAAAAAATAACAGTAAGAAAGCTGGGTCCCATCAAGAGTTCTTAGGAGTCAACTTAGAGTCAAAACCTCAGCAGTCAGAGGCCAAGTAGCCAATATTGGAGCAATTCAAGCATTGATAATGATGAAAACTTTAATGGGATTCAAATACACCAAAGGCATTTTAAAATCTATGAAATCATAATAATACCAGATAAAACAAAACTGGATATTCAGCACTGAAGGATATTTTAAAATGAACTTGTTTCAGAAAATCTAGTGAATAGAGGGCAATAATCAAATATTTATCTTGGTTTTCCTTTTAACTCATCTACTTGTAGCTAACTAAATTATGGTTGGAAGAATGGTTTCATAGAAATATTTCAATTGGCAAGTAAGGAGAACTGATTGAATATCACTATATTCTAAATTCCCCAGTGAAGGAATAGACTGAAATTATTTAATAGCTATTTCTATCAATCAAGGAGACTACCAACCATAAGCACATGCTTCAAGATGAAAGAAAACACACTACCAATGAATTCATGTTGAGGAAGAAAATATGAACCTATTTATGATCAAATATCAAACTCTACTAATTTGTGGAAAATAAAAACTAAGGAGATGACATCATGG